AATTATTGGTCAATATTTAAAAAGTGTTATTGCTTCGATCATTTTACTTTTACATTTGAAAAGAAATATATTACACTTACAGAAGCTCCGAGCGTAACAAACACATGGGGGTATAATCCGTCAAAATGGGTACCTTCGAGATGATCCATTTCATCCGACTTCAGCGATTGCCTGATGAAACGCAGGCTTTCTTCTGTGGATGTTTCTTACATAAAGAAAGACAAAGACTTGAATTACTGATAAATTAGCTTAAAAATAACTGACAATATTGTCAGGCTAGTATACGTGAAAATTGATTTGAACTTTCTGCACTTTGCGTGTATTTTTAGTAAAATGACACGTAATTGAGCGTGTCCATTTTACATGTTAATTATTTTAGAAAAATCTTCAATCTCGTTTCAAGAAGTAGGGCAGACGTGATTCAAAAAAAATAAGATAAACATAAGTGTAGTACGAATGCTATTATATTGAGAATATTGCAATATAAAAATCAAAAATGGGAGAACATTGAAAAGATAGCTTCTAAAGCTTCTATAGTCATTTATATTTCTTTACATAGGAATTGAAGTCGTCATAAGTTCAAAGAACGTAACTAATTACACATACATATATACATATATCGATAAAGTAAGGAAAATGAGGAATTTAAATTACAAAGATCATATTTTCATTGAATTTAAAAATGTTGACATATTATTCTTTTTATGCAACTTAGGGACTTAGAGACTTTTGTCTACTTCTTTAAATACAAATTTAATTACATAGTTTTATTAATTGAATTTTTATTTAATAAAATAAAAAATTATGCGACAATTTGTAAGATTCTAATTTTGTAGTAATTATATTAATTATATAACACTACGTATTAATTATATAAGAGTTTAATGATAACATGAAAAATGTAGAAGAAAAGATCTAATTAAGTTTTCTATTTTGTATTTCATTTCTCGATCGCATATTAGAATAAAAACGGATAAATGGAAGAATATTGTTACTAACCAAAACTTAATACTATGCGTACTATATTACATACTTAGTATCATTGAATATGCAAAATGCCGATGTATATTATTCAAACTAAGTTCGACAAATCTTATGTAACAACTATTAATCTGACCATTAAATTTTTTTTTCAATCTAGCATAGCATAAAAGTAAGAAAATCCAAAAAACAAGAAAAAAAGGGACTAAAGTTCGATGATATAACTGTAGTCAAAATGTATGAATTACAAGTAAATTATATTTCGTATAACGTAAGTATACTAAAGACTTCAACTCGAAGCATAATTTTATTTACAATTACAATTTTATAAAACTATTAAAAACCAAACTTATTTCATTGAAAAATAAATCGTTATTGATTAGCAGCAGCCTTGAGAGATCCGACAAACAAATTAAATTGAAAAAAATTCTCTAGAAATAAAAATTTTTTTGCAATTAATGTTCTCTTAATAAATAAACATTTAAATAAATTAACTTAATAAAATGAATTTTTACAGTCACATCGATCGAACACACTCCAATTCAATTTCTTTTCTTATCACTTATCTATACTCGATACATACATTCTTTTCCATAAATTACATTTCGACACAGCTTTTAAAAATTGCACCGATAACAGAAATATACACGAAGGAAAATAATCCTCATAAGCACTTTTAATAAAACTTACTCATCATTGTTGAAGACATATTTCCTAATGAAGTTTATCGTAGGAAATCACAGTTTTTCCTGAAAAAAAGTAATCTGAACAGAACGTCCAAAGTCTTCACACCGATCACTACAACTGTTTGACTCGAACTAATCGTCACGATCGCCGCTGTGACTATTTTGCAGCTTCAGGAAGACTAGCTGTTTCGAAATACCTAGGACATACCTAATCGACGCCAGGTATATTTGATCAGGATATTTGCAAATTGAACTCCACAAAGACTCGTAAATCATTCTTTATTTTCGGTCCTTTTTCCATTGTCTCTTTTATACCGATCATATTTTATGTGCAATTGTACATGTCTAAAATATCGTATCGTGCATAAATACTCAGAAAATAATGTTTATATTCAATTTTTCGTAAAATATAAATAATCGATACTTCGTAAAAATATAAGTAATTACAAACATCATTATCGTACTGTAATTGATTTTATATTTTTATATTTTATAATTTTATACTTTTTTTTTATATTTTATAATTTTATACTTATTTTTATATTTTATAATTTCATACTTTTTTTTGCAAGTGAATGTTTATTTCATTTTTAAAATTATTTTCTTTAAATCATAAATTTATTTGAACATCCTCTGTATTTTATACATGAGGATATTGCAAAAAATAAATAAATATAACGAAACATACTTTATCTGTCCTCACGTATAATAGTAATAGATAACTACAAATATAACTCATAATCAAATTGCAACACATATATTATCGATGCATTACGTAACTACGGTATTACTATTTTTTGTTGCAATAAATTTTTGATTCTTTCTATTCAACTCGTTTATTTCATTCAGTATCATCAGCACATATATGTATGAGCGAATAAATTGATTACGTAGGTTTCTTTGCGTTCAACAACAATAATTGCTTACAAATTTTTAAGCACTCCAGTTTTAATATATATATATA